GTTTTGTCTGAATGTTGCCATTTGCCCTAATGTCCTTTTTTTTTGTTTTATTTTGTTAGCAACGGTGGAGTACTCCCTATTTAACCCAGAAAAGGATTATTTTAGTTTATTAGTAATATCAGAAATTGTGTAGTACGCACTATTTAGATCAACATTATACAGCCCAGAAATGGAATCAGAATTAGAATAACTACGAACTTGGAATCCAGAAATACTTAACAGGATCAGTCACTGCTGTTAAGTTGTAAGTAGCATACTGCCATGTGTGAGATGTGCGGTAGTGGGAGGCGGGGCTAGAGCTGTAGTTTTTTCATTCTGTTGTGTGAGGAGCGCATGTTGTTAACTGTTGATGGCGACCATTAAAGTGTGGATGCTAATATCAGCAGTGTGATTATTGAGTCAACAACTGCTGAGTTTATATTACTTTTAACCCAGGAAAGGATTTAGCTCTCCTTCTTTTTTTCTTTCCTTTGGTTTGTTATTTTGTTTGTATTTCCTTGTAACTCATGTAAAGCACTTTGAATTGCCTTGTTGCTGAAAATGTGCTACATAAATAAAATTACCTTACCTAAAATCTGACGCCTCCATCTTGTTTCCATCTGGTGAAGAAGGAAGTTGCTCTCAGTGTCTTCAGAGGTTTTGGTGTCGTTTCCTTCAGTGGTTCTTGGTGCAGCGCCCCCACAGGCCAGGAGGGGAACAGGTTGGTTTGACTCAGAGCCACAGCAGCTGGAGGTGGAGCAGGTGATGGAGTTCTGGTTCCAGTAGAACCAAATCTATGGAACTGAAGGAGGAAAACATCCTGAAACCCGGAACAGCTTCCGTCTCTCAGCAACCAGCACAGCAAACGCTTCAGATCTGGTCCAGAATCCTGACTGGTTCGTCCTGCCTTCATGCTGTTAAAGTCCAGCTGAGTTTAATCAGTTCAGCCCTGAAGTCTAAATGAGCTCCAGAGTCGGTCCGGTTCCTGAAGAACCAGCAGAACCAGACTCCATCTGCTCACAATGAAGTCCAGACCAGCCGGGTGTCTCTGCATGCGGCCCGCTCCCACCTGGATCCGTTTTAGGATCCGGGCCAGAACCACTCTGTTCCACTTCTCTGTCTCATCTTGTTTCTTTGCATTTGGACAAACGCTAAACATGAACAGGAAGTGCTGACGTTACTGTGAGGCTAATCTGCAGTCGGGCCCAAACGGGCCTGTTAAAAACACCAGATAGTTTCATCTGCTCTGGTGTGTGTGTGTGTGTGTGTGTGTGTGTGTGTGTGTGTGTGTGTGTGTGTGTGAGCCCGCGCAGCAGACCTTGGCGTTTCAATGCATCTTGGAGGCTCAGAAAGGAAAACCTTTTGGAATATGTCCAGTTGACGGATTCATGGAAACGTTTTGTCAGCGCTAAGCTCCAACGTTTCTTCTGGATTCTCCAGTGGAAAAAAATAAGCAGAATTTAAATATTTTCAGTTTTTTGTTGTGGAAAAAGTGTACAACAAAGTTTGGTGATAACGTCCTGATGCTGCTGAGGGTTTTCGGGGGTTTCGCCTGCAGCAGTCGAAGGACAAAACACAGAAGTCGGCTCACATCTTTGACTCTTCCTGAAGTTTTAAGGCAGATCTGGAATGGAAACACTGTCTGCACTTTAACATTTCCATGAGGTTCTCCATCATCTCACAGCAAACTGTTTCTTCTCTCCATCCTCTCTCCTTCCTCCTGTCCTCCTCCATCCCTCCTTCCCATCAGCACTGGAAGGCCGAGGTAGGACCCGGTCGCTCCTGCCTGCATGTCTGCCTCTCCCTGACCCGCCTAACCTCCCTCTTTTCCTGCTGTCTAACATCTTCAGGAGAATTTTCTGCAGTTTTGTTGAATTTATCCGCTGAAGATGAGAAGCTGAACCGTAAATGAAAGCTTGAAAATCTGCTTAGTTTCTTCATTCCTGGAGTCAGACGTAGAGCTGTGGTTTAATCTGAGTCCGTTTTTAATTTGTCCGTCTATTAAAACTCTAAAATCAGTTTGAATTATATTTAGTTTGATTTGCTTTTTGACATTAGTTCCTTCATGTCTTTGAGTGATTAACAAATTCAACCAACTAGACAAATGACCATTGTCTAGTGGAATCTAATTTCTATTTTTATTGATCAGCGGTTGAGGCTGTATGAATAAATTTGAGCCAATAGCTGTCTGTGTGCTGTTGTATCATGTTTGGAACTGTGGTGAGACAATGTTAATAACAGGTTAATAACCAGGTTAGCTAATAACAGGTTAATAACTGCCTAATAACCAGTTTAGTTAACAGGTTAATAACCAGGTTAGCTAATAACAGGTTAATAACCAGGTTAGCTAATAACAGGTTAATAACTGCCTAATAACCAGTTTAGTTAACAGGTTAATAACCGAGTTCTCTAATAACAGGTTAATAACCAGGTTAGCTAATAACAGGGTAATAACTAGGTTAGCTAATAGGGTAATAACCGGATTAGCTGATAACAGGTTAATAACCGGATTAGCTAATAGGTTAATAACCATGTTATTAACCTAATAACAGGTTATTACCTGTTAATAACCAGCTATTATGAGAATAGTTGGTTACTTGTAATAACCAGCTATTCTAGCTAATGACAGATTAGCTAATGACAGATTAATAACCAGATTAGCTAATGACAGATTAATAACCAGATTAGCTAATGACAGATTAATAACCAGGTTAGATAATAACAGCGTAATAACCAGGTTAGCTAATAACAGAATAATATCCAGGTTAGCTAACAGAGTAATAACAATGTTATCAACCTGTTAATAACATGGTTATTAACAGCTGTTATTACCTGTTAATAACCAGCTATTATGAGAATAGCTGGTTACTTGTAATAACCAGCTATTCTGGTTATTACAAGGTAATAACCAGAATAGCTGATGGGGTAATAACCAGGTTAGCTAATAACAGAATAATAACCAGGTTAGCTAATAACAGGGTAATAACCAGGTTGGCTAATAACAGGTGACTGACCTGTCAGGTGTTTTGCTGCAGGCCCAGAGGCACGTCACCGATCTCTACGAAGACCTGAGGGACGGACACAACCTGATCTCCCTGCTGGAGGTCCTGTCTGGAGAGATGTTGGTGAGTATCCCCCGGTGTCCCTGTCCTCTCTGAGTCGCTGTCCCCCGGTGTGTCTGTCCCCCTGGTCGCCCCCGGTCAGCAGCGGCCCTGTCTCCACGTCTGCATGACTTGTAGATCTGTTCAGGTCCTGCTGAGGCTGAGCTCACTTTGAAACACTAATTTCATTTCTGGCTTCCATCTTGTAACCGTTCTGCACTTCTCTGTCTTTGTTTGAGCCTTTTTATTTCCTTTCTTCTAACTGCTGTCTGCTTACCCTGACCTCTGACCTCTGCCCTCTGCCTTCCTGTCTCGCGACGCTCCGGCTGTAGCCGAGGGAGCGCGACGTTGTGAGGAGCGTGCGGTTGGTGAGTGGCGCCTGGACTGCAGGTGGGAGGCGGGCGTGGCATGCATCACCACCAGGTGGCAGCCTGCCGGTCGTTGCATGTTGGCCGTCACCCCAAACCTCCATCCTCACCGTCCTCTGATCACTGGTGATGGCAGCATCATGTTAGAGGGTCAAAGGTCAACTCAGAAGATCAAATCAGAAATAAAACGAGCAGAACTAAAAGATTCAGTGAGAAATATAAGATGCTAATTTACAATTTCTGCTGCTGATTTTAATCCAACAGAAAAATGACCAGAAGTGTAATTTAAATTAAGATATTCAGAAACAATGAGATGAATAAGGCAATAAGCATATTTTCATTGTATATTTATTCATGTTTTTATTTTTGGTTTTAGAAAATAACCAGTTTATTCCTTTCTCATCAAAAAGTATTTTATGTTTACCATATAGTTATTTTGTGCTTTCTGAGCTCAGTTACAACATTCTTATTTAACAATGATTTTGTTGGGAGTGCTGTGGTGGCGCAGGGGTTAAGCACAGTCCACATATTGGGGCCTTAGTCCTCGAGGCAGCTGTCGCAGGTTCGATTCCTGGCCTGGCGACCTTTGCCACATGTCTTCCCCCTTCTCTCATGACCAACTTTCCTGTCAACTATCAAATAAATAAAATTGTTTCTTTTTTTTTCACTTTCACTTGCATTAAATTAAAAAAAATATGCTTGCACCATTCTGAGATTTTTAATTCCAAAGAAAAGACAAATTAAAATTCTGTTGAATAAAACCAAATAATCTAAGAGTTTAGCGTCAGATTGTGCCTGAAAGAGGCGGTGAAGTTCAGCCGAACGCTGATGATGTTCTTCTTTATTTCACCAAATTAAAAAATGTTCCATATTTTACAGGATCTAGAGAAACCAGTTCAACCACAGACATCTCAACCCTTTATCATAGGGTTATCATAATAATGATATTAATGTGAGATTATTATTATCATTATTATCATTATTCAGTTTGCAGCTCTGAGATGCTCCAGTCCAGCTTTAGATTCTTCTGGAATCTGTTAAAGCTGCTCAAACAGGGAATCGTTTTTCCGTTATGGACGGACAGACGTAGCGGAGATCACTGGGAATGTTTGTCATCCATCTTCATGCTGTCACCCGCTCCATCTTGGCTCCATCTGTGGCGCATCTCTGGGTCAGATCTGACCACAAACATGCAGTTTCACCTCTGACCTCCAGCACCATGACTAGCATAGCTGTTAGCATAGCTAGCCACTGGACCATGGAGTTTTGTCTAAGTGTGTCCTCTGTGGTCTCTTGCAGCCGCGGGAGAAGGGCCGAATGCGTTTCCACAAGCTGCAGAACGTCCAGATCGCTCTGGACTTCCTCAAGCACAGACAGGTGAGGGACATTCTGGACAGACGGCGCCCTCGTCTCTCTAACCCTAACCCCGACCTCTGCCCCCTTTTCAGGTCAAACTGGTTAACATCAGAAATGATGACATTGCAGATGGAAACCCCAAGCTGACTCTGGGCCTCATATGGACCATCATCCTCCACTTCCAGGTAATCCAGGAGATTTACAACATTTAAACTCCAGATTTGTCAAGTCAAGTGAACTTTATTGTCAAAGATCTATGTGACAGGGTTTACACAGATGTTTGAAATTGCATCTCATCATTCTCCAATGTGCAGTTAAACTAAACGTATAAACACATGACAGTAACCCCACCCCCCAAAAAAACAAACACACACACACTGCTATACACTGTGCAATAAGAAGAATATATAGATGGACAATAAATACACAATCACACACACACAGCAGCAGAAGTGCAATCAGTGGACATACAGGTAATGTAAGGTAATCTAGATGCTGAATGCAAGGTGCAAAGCAAGTGGTGTGTGAAGGAAATGTTTATGAAATGTTCTCCAGTGTCCTTGAAATGTTCAGTTTTTGCTTAAGCTCCTGTGTTTTTAAGTTTGTTGCGATTCCCTGGTGATAAACCCATTCAGCCGTCCTTCGCTCTCCTTTTATTCCTGGTAAGCGAGAAGCCGTTGGCCTCCACATGGCAGGTAGTTGGTTTTTCCTGCGTTGATGGAAATACTGAAGGTGTTTTCCTGCTTCACCAAGAGGCTGAAAGTGATGGTGGAGGTGCAGAAACCTCCTGGGGAGTTAAGGGCGAGGCAGCTCAGTGAGGCTGTCTGCAGGAAACCAGACGACTCGCTTTGGTTTCCTGCTTTTCATCCGGCTCTCCTCACAGGACCAGACATGCCTCACGACTCCCAAAGTGTTTTCTACATTTCCATTTCATCCCATTTTCTGTGTGCTGAAAGTGAAAAAACGCCGTTTCCCTGAGCTGCGTCTGAACTTCAGTTTCTAAGCTGCAGTCGACTTCCTGCCTGGAGGAAGCGCCGGTTCTGGTGTCGACCCGCAGCTCCAGTCAGGCTGCCTGGAAAAATCCTTCCAGCAGGTTTCACCTGGACAAGCAGAGCGATAATTCCCAAACCTCCAAGGGATCAGAACATGTTGGTGGTTCTGTTGGAGTCTCAGCCCAGTTTCAGTCTGGAGGTTCTGACTGGCGGGGAATGTGGGTGGAGACGCTCTGGCGACCAACATGGCGGACCAACATGACCAACATGGCGGACCAACATGACCAACATGGCGGACCAACATGACCAACATGGCGGAGTCCCTTTAGCTCCATCTTCACTCCCAGGTCCGTGTCGGGTTTGGGTTCATTCTGGACCCGCCAGGCTCGGGGTTTCCTCCTTTCCCATCGTCTCCACCCTTCCTGTTTTAGGAATAAAATTATTAGTTGTGCTCTGACTCAGCCATGAAACCGGTTGAGAGCGGCTGCAGCAGGAGATTATCCGCCTGCGGGGAATAATCCCACTCGCCTCGACTTTCCCGGATCTCTACAAACAGAAAGTCTCTGCAGGTTTCAGCAGTTTGTGAAATAAACTGAAGGATGAAAATGTTTTGAAGCTGCAGCCGGAAACTGATAATTAGACCCAAACTGAGAGTTTTAGATGTTATGTCTCATTGCAGGAATAATCCAGATTAAACTCTCCAAAATACTGGGATTAAACTGGTTCCAGAAGCTCAGTCCTGGAAAAACCCCAGAAAGTTGTTTTTGTTCTCTGAAATGTTCCGTTGGGATTCTCCTCCTCCATGTGACTCAGAGTTTTTCCTCCCAGCACCAATAAAATTTTCCCGTCTCTCGGTCCAGCAGCCATTAGCGGCTGCCTGCGGGCGCATTAAATGAAAACAAAGCCCGCATTCTCACACTTCCAGGTTCTGTTTGGTTCTGATGCATCACAACGCAGCCAGGCCAGATTTATGGGCGTCATGAGTTCTGGAAAGGTCGGATCGGATCATAAATAACTGAAAACCAGATGAAGATGGAGGCAGAACCGTCCAGAGCCTCAAACGATTTCAAACTGCAGATTTAAAGTGAGCATCTGGAGCTTTGACTCCTTCACTTCTGGTCTGCAGACAGTAGAACTGCAATGCTTCGGTCTGAATTCCTCGTTTCTCCTGTTCTCAGGCGTTTTACAGAAACTCGGTATTTTAAATGTGAAGGAGACGTTTCCACCCTCCAGGTTCCACTCCACCCCTTCAGCCATTTCTGTAGTTCGGTAGCAGCGATTATCTACCGGCAGAGAAACTTTCTACCTGTTGGAGCCAGAGTCTGACCCAGAGCAGCAGAACCTGCAGAACCGCGCATTCACATGAACGCTTGGCAGTGATGGTGTTACTGGATTTACTCCCTCTGCATCCACACCAGCTACCTACAACATGGAGCGCAGTTTAACTACAGTCCATGCATGTCAGATGACTATTCAAATATTAATGCTACCACAATATGAATGCATTAAACGAAGCCTGGACATAATGAAGGAGTTAGCTAACGGAGCGTCAAGGACGTCACCGAATTGGACCATTTTTGTTCCCCGGGACAAAACCAGCAAAAACTAATACTTATATCCAAAGCATGCAGAGCAGTTGAATCCTCCAGGAGGCAGCTAGCAGCTAGCAGCTAGCACACAGCGCTAACAGGAGGCTCAATGCTGACCACCGGCCAGGACGTCTCTACCGACACACAGCATTCATGTCTACAATCAGCTTTGCTGTCCCTTTTATCAGCAGCTTAGCGCTTCGCTGTGTCCCTCGCTTCCATAGGGAAGGAACCGACCCTCAGTCAGACCAAGTCTTTCAGAAAATCCCTCCTGATATCCTGGCGGAGGTTCCTGAAACGCTCGTCCTTCAGGTCTCCAAAAACGGACGTTCCCCTCTGATGTGGGAACGTTCCCGAGAAAACCGACATTAACCAGAAGAGGCTCTGATGCCGCGGCGATGTGAGACTCCTGAGCGTTAATACACGCATTTCTGAGCGGTTCGACTCGCTTACCTGCAACTGCAGCAGAACTGAACTCGGATACAAAATCACCGCCAGGAAAAAAAATGGCCGATTCTCAGAACTGATTAGCTGGAAGTCATGACCTTGTTCAGCAGAAACGTAGTGTGGTTAGCTTAACCCAAAGAGCAGCAGGAGTTCTGGTCCAGACTTGGGTCTGGTTCTGGTTCTGACCGTGTGCTGTTGGTCTCCCCAGATCTCGGACATCCAGGTGAACGGCCAGTCGGCCGACATGACGGCCAAGGAGCGTCTGCTGCTGTGGGCCCAGCGGATGGTGGAGGGCTACCAGGGGCTGCGCTGCGACAACTTCACCACCAGCTGGAGGGACGGCCGGCTGCTCAACGCCGTCATTCACAGGCACAGGTGAGGCTACAACAGGTGAGACCCGGTCCAGAACCGGTCTGGACCGGGTCTGGTTCTGAGGCTAGAGTTCTGCTCTCTGACCTCGTGCATATTTCAGGCCGTTGTCTGTCCGGTGTTGGTCACTGCGGGTTCGGAGGCGGGAGTCTGACCTGAACATGGCCACCCGTTGCCATGCAGTCGGACCGGGTCTGGTAAAGGTTCTGAACTGAACGTTCTGCTGCAGCGAAGCAGGAAAAGTTCCTTATACTGGGGCAGCAGCAGCGATACTGGGTTCACTGGAAAGAATTGTCCTTCCTTCCTCTGCAGCTCTGAGGAAGCTGATTTTCCCTCCGAGTCGCTGCATCATCACCGCGTCAACGACAGGAAAACAGCGTTACCATGGCAACAAGCCACAGCAGCGCTGATGCTGCTGCTGCTTCCTTTGGCATATTAAGCTGCACATCTGATTAAATTCACTGGTTATTCTGCTGGTGATTAATAGAAACGAACTGGTTTTATTGAAATAGCTGCTCTGAGCTTTAATTCAAACATTCTCCTTGTGTCTGTGGTTTCATTATTGTTAAACTTTGGATTAAAATTATAATAAATCTTTTATTAGTGTCTTGTTTCCCGACTTGTTTCTCTGGATTTCATTGGACAAGCTGATTGTTTTCTAACTTCCTTTCTTGTTGCTTCCAAAACGAAAACCCAGCCAGCTGCAGCTCGGATCGTCTGGTTCTGACCCGGTTAAACCTGCCTGCAGAACCTTCTGGGTTTAACCGGTTCCTCCATCCAGTCAGAGGGCTGCCCGTCTCCCACTGCTGGAGGACTTCCTGGTTTCTGGTTTCCTAGCCAGGCTGACCGTCGGCCCGCCTGGCGTCGGGTGGTTAAAGGTTCTGTCCTGACCCGGTGTGGCGCCTCTCTGTGTGCAGGCCCAGCCTCATCGACATGAACCAGGTGTACCGGCAGACCAACCAGGAGAACCTGGAGCAGGCCTTCAGTGTGGCTGAGCGAGAGCTGGGAGTCACCAGGCTGCTGGACCCAGAAGGTGAGCAGAACCAGAACCTCGCGGCAGGGTTCGGGTCCGGCAGGTTCTCACTGCTCCGTGTTCCTGTCCAGATGTGGACGTTCCCCACCCAGATGAGAAGTCCATCATCACGTACGTCTCCTCGCTGTACGACGCCATGCCCCGCGTCCCGGACATCCAGGACGGCGTCAAGGCCAACGTGAGTTCTGATCCGTTTCTGATCAGTGCGTCCAGTAGGCGCCAGTAGATGAAATGGAGCCAGATGTTTAGAGCAGCATCTGAACCTCATGTGTTTATGGATCCAGAACCGGTCCTGGTTCTGGTCTTCCTGTCTCTCTGTTAAGTGATAAAGTGGTTTGTATGTGAGCTGCAGCTGGATAACATCCTGACCCTGCAGGAGCTGGAGCTGCGCTGGCAGGAGTACTACGAGGTGGTCACCGTGCTGCTGCAGTGGATCCGCCACCACATCCTGGTCTTCCAGGAGAGGAAGTTCCCCAGCAGCTACGAGGAGATCGAGGTGACCGCGTCGCCCACCTTCATCCTGAGGATGAGGAGCTGGATGATGAACTGACGTCTGCGTTTCCTCCTCAGGTTCTCTGGCGCCAGTTCCTGAAGTTCAAGGAAACCGAGCTGCCGGCCAAAGAGGCAGACAAGAACCGCTCCAAACACATCTTCAAGTCGTTTGAGGTGAGTTCCCCGGCTTCCCCCGACGGAGCGACCCGGACTCGGACCCGGACTCACGCCGTTTCCGTCTGCAGGGTGCCGTGCAGGCCGGCCTGGTGAAGGTTCCTCCAGGCTACCATCCGCTGGACGTGGAGAAGGAGTGGGGGCGTTTGCATGTGGGCATCCTGGAGCGAGAGCGCCTCCTCCGGACCGAGTTTGAGAGGTAAGCAAAACCCAACCCACTGCAGAGTCACATGCTGCAGAGCAACACGGTGCACCACCACTGGACCGCTGCGATGCGTCACACGGCGCCGGACCGTGACTCATCTCCTGATGAGTCCAAACACATCAAACACTGTTTGTTTTGTTGGTTAGGAAGTAAATCATCAAATTAAAGGAAGCACATGACCCCATCTCATCGCCATGGAGAAAACATAAACGTTTTCTGGTCACATGGCGGCGGGGCGTCGCTTCCAGCCCTGTGGCTTTGGCCGCTCTCAGTTTAGACTCACATCATGGCTTTCCTGCATCAGGGCTACCACTATGTGCTGCAGAGGAGGACGCAGTGAGTGCCCACTCCTCTGCCTCCTCTTTTTCTATCATGCATGTTGACCTCTGACCTCTTCTCCTCGCTGCAGGCTGGAGCGACTCCAGAGGATCGTCAGTAAGGTCCAGATGGAGTCGGGGGTGTGTGAGGAGCAGCTCAACCAGGTGGAGACGCTGCTGCAGACGGTGAGCAACTCCAACATGTTGTCATGCTGCTGTAATGCCTTGTTGGTGCTGCAGGGGGCAGCAGAGGGTTACATTAATTAATGAAATAGATACATATTTGTAAATTTGGTCATTCAGATAAAATTGTAAATCTGTACTTAAAATAAAAAAACTAATTATGTATGATTAACCCTCCTGTTATGTTGCGGGTCAAATTAACCCATTTTAAAGTAAAAAAAAAAAAAAAGTATTTTTTTTTCTGCATGAAACTTTTTCTATTTGTCTTAATAGGTGCCCTCTACATATAAACTGAAAATGGTTCATTTTACAAATTTGCAGTCCCCCCACACAACAGTTTTTAACTCATATTTCCTCCAGATATATTTGGTATTTTCCATGCTTCATGCCACTCGACAGAGGTTCGCTGGTTAATGAATATTACACAAGCCTAGTTTATGAACTTTACCTAGTGCTAACATTAGCTAGCACAATATGCTACCGGGGATCACGGCAGACAAAATATGTGACTGTCGTCATAAGTTGTGTAAGATTTCTTCTTTGAAACAGGGTGGACACTTTAGAAGCTGCTAAACGGTGTAATTTTGTGAAGATTACTTACCATCACATTCTGTGTCCCGTCACCGAAGCCCTGAAGCTCGGGACAGAGTTCTGAGATCTCAGGGAGTCATCCGCTTTAGTCAGCGCTAACCAATCGGAACACGTCTTACATCGCTCGTCCTTAAGCCCCGCCCAGAATGTTCATGGAAGCTTCGCCAAAGCAAATAAAGTTGTATAAGCAAGAAAACGAGTTCAACCAAAAAACAGGAGCTCAGAAAAAACTTAGACTCAACCAAAAACTTAGGCTGTCGACCAAAAAATTCTGATATGCAAAAATAAAAGTTTCAAACAAAAATTTGTGATTTCAATTAAAAAAGTTTTTAAAGCAATTTTTTGTTTTAAAAAGAATAATTCTTACAATTTGATTTAAATATTTTTTTTGTTTGAAACAATTTTTTTTAAATCCAAAGGTTTTGATCACAACTCTGTTTTTGTTTGACATGATTGTGTTTTTTGTTGTTTTTTTTTATTGAGTAATTGTGAAACAAATCTAACTCCATACAGGAACATTAAATATTGTATGACAAATTGTAATAATTATTTAATCAGTTATTTATTTATTTATTGTATTTTGGCCCACTGCAACAATTCAAGAATTTATTTGTTGTCAGTTACACATATCAAAGTCTGGAGGCGGAGCTAGCACACTTTAAACCAATCAGACGTTTGGTTTAAAAGGAATAGACTCACTGGTTATTGATAAACAGGAAATGGCTAATTAGAAATTTATCACTTGATAAATTCCAGTCATATTTAAATATTTCAAGATTGAAATGGTTTTGCTTAAGAAAAACTGACTCATTTAAATAAAAATATATTTTTAAAATGTATTGAATGAATTTATTGTTTTTACCAACCAGCCATTTAAGGGATCAGGCGAGTTTAAGAGGCGGTTGTGTGGAGTCGTCCTCAGCAGTCAGTGTTTTACAGTGAAGAGAATCAGGGAGAAATCTTGAGAGTTTTCCGTGCCACGGTGTGAAGCATGTCGGATTGCTGAACTTCCTGTTTGCTGCAGGATGTGAGGATGATGAGTTCTGGGAAACCGGCTCAGCACACAGCAGAGGTGGAGGCAGACCTGGAGAAAGCAGAGGCAATGATCCGCTTGCTCTTCAATGATGTACAGCTGCTGAAAGATGGACGCCATCTGCAGGCCGAACAGATGTATCGCAGGTAAATGGTGTTTCTGACAGACCTGAAGGCTGCAGCACTTCATCCTGCGTTGCTCCTGCTGCCAGCTGATCCAGAGTTTTACTGAAATTCTTCCTTCAAGACGTTGATGTGATCATTTCTGGGCTCTTTTAGAGTCTATCGTCTCCATGAGAGGCTCGTAAACGTCCGCAGTGAGTACAACCTGCGCCTGAAGTCAGGCGTGACCACCACCCAGATCCCCATGACCCAGATCCCCATGACCCAGATCCCCATGACCCAGATCCCCATGACCCAGATCCCAGTTCAGGTCCACTCCCAGGTCGGTCCACCCCAGCAGTCCTCCAGGGTGCGTCCGGAGCTGGACGAGGTCACGCTGCGCTACGTGCTGGACCTACTGGGTTGGGTGGAGGACAACCAGCGGCGGGTGGAGGAGGGCGAGTGGGGCTCCGACCTGCCCAACGTGGAGACGCAGCTGGGCAGCCACCGGGGCCTGCACCAGTCTGTGGAGGAGTTTCGCTCCAAGATCGAGAGGGCGAAGGCCGACGAGGTACAGCGGACAGAAACCTCCTGAGGGTTGATGGTGAGGAAGAGGAGGTGGGGTCTTCATCTCGTTGTTTGTGACTCTGCAGGGTCAGATTTCTCCGGCCTGTAAGGCTGCGTACCGGGAATATCTGGGAAAACTGGAGCTGCAGTACGGAAAGCTTCTGGTGAGCAACACAACGAGCTCTTCCTGTCTGCCTGCCAGCGTTTCCACCATCACAAATCCTCTTCCTCTCTGCAGAGCGCCTCTAAGGCTCGCCTGCGCCACCTGGTGGAGCTGCACGCCTTTGTCAGCGCAGCCACTAAGGAACTAATGTGGCTGAACGAGAAAGAGGAGGAAGAGGTCAACTACGACTGGAGCGACAAGAACTCCAACATGGCTTCCAAGAAGGAAAGCTACTCGGTAAGCGTTTGGCGCCTAGAGGCTGCTGCGGGACGGCCTGCGGGACGTCCCGCAGGCCGGCCGCCATGTGGTGCCACAGCCATAAGAACCCGGCTGTTTCTCTGCTGCAGGGCCTGATGCGAGAGCTGGAGCTGCGGGAGAAGAAGGTGAACGGCGTCCAGGCCTCCGGAGACAAGCTGCTGCGGGACGGACACCCTGCCAGGCCAACCATCGAGGTGAGACGCCGCGGAGCAAAGCGAGCGGCAATTTAGAGAAATCAACTGAAACATGGTTTTCCTCCCCAGGCGTTCACTGCGGCGCTGCAAACGCAGTGGAGCTGGCTGCTGCAGCTCTGCTGCTGCATCGAGACACACCTGAAGGAGAACACCGCCTACTTCCAGGTACGCTGGTCATCCTGAGGTCAGACTGAGGTCAGCCTGAGGTCAGCCTGAGGTCAACCTGAGGTCAACCTGAGGTCAGACTGAGGTCAGCCTGAGGTCAGCCTGAGGTCAGCCTGAGGTCAGCCTGCGGTCAGACTGAGGTCAACCTGAGGTCAGCCTGAGGTCAGCCTGAGGTCAGACTGAGGTCAACCTGAGGTCAGCCTGAGGTCAACCTGAGGTCAGACTGCTCCTTCAGCTCTGAACTCTCCCTGCAGTTTTTCACCGATGTGAAGGAGGCTGAGGAGAGGATGAGGAAGATGCAGGAAGTGATGAAGAGGAAGTACACCTGCGACCGCTCCGTCACGGTGACTCGGCTGGAGGATCTGCTGCAGGACGCTGCTGTGAGTTCATCGGCTTCAGCTCCACCTGAGAATCAAGCATATCTATATGGTTTCATGCTTTTATTCTGGAGTTCTTCATGACTCTTTCACTGCCGGACGTCGGGTCCACTTTGGGTTTTAGTTGGGCCGGTCAGTGTGTTCGGTCGTTGTACGATGTATCGGTACCGCCTGATTGTCGATACGGCTGCTCCAATATGAAGGTCTGGGCTGATCGATAATGCTGCTACTGCCGATAACCGATACGTACTGATATCGTATTCCTTATGTCACCGTTGCATCTCTGCTTCAGTTAAACTCCCATAATGCTTTGCTGCATCACCATCTCTGTCACATAACAACCCGATATCTCAGGCATCCTGAAAATCTATAATATTGATAAATATCAACCATAATGGCAATAGTCATATTGGATATCGGCACTCTAACTGGATCAGAACCGGTTCTGCTCAGCAGCGTATTGGTTCTGGATCCCGACCCGTTTCTGTTCCAGGACGAGAAGGAGCAGCTGGCCGAGTTTCAAACCCACCTGGAGGGTCTGAAGCGCCGCGCCAAGACTGTGGTCCAGTTAAAGCCCAGGAACCCGGCCAGCGCCACCAAAGGGAAGCTGCCGGTCCAGGCCGTCTGCGACTTCAAGCAGATGGAGGTGAGCAGTTTGTCTGTCCTGGGTCTGACCCGTTCTCTGACCCGGTTCTGACCTGTTCCGACCCGGTTCTGGTCCTCCTGCAGATCACAGTCCACAGAGGGGACGAGTGCGCTCTGCTCAGCAACTCCCAGCCGTTCAGCTGGCGGGTTCTGAACGACCGCGGCAGCGAGGCGGCGGTCCCGTCCGTCTGCTTCCTGGTTCCACCCACCAATAAGGACGCGGTGAACAGCGTCGCCGGGTGAGGCTGGCGGGGGCCTGGGGGACAATACTGGGGGCCGTGGGCCGGGGGCGGCCCGCAGCATTATGTGGGGCGGCCCTAACCCCGCAACTTCATGTTTCATAAAAATGGAAATATTGTTTCAATTTGGCCAGATTACAGAAACAATGGCACATGTTTGGCCTCATGATAAAAACTTTGGAGGCCAACAGGTCTGGTCCGGTCCGGTCCGGTCCTGACCCGCTCTAACCCACTGTCTCCGCCAGGCTGGACGGGAACCTGCAGCGCCTGCAGGCCATGTGGCAAACCATGTTTGTGGACCTGAAGAGCCTGCTGTCCTGGCAGTACCTGATGAGGGACGTCCACATCATCAACTCCTGGAACGTCACCATGGTAACGGCACCGCCGCTGGAGGCGGAGCTTCCTCCGCTGGTTCAAACTGTTGACATGGTGATGAGAAGATTCAGGAGTTAAATTAAGTCTGGTTTGGATAAATGTTACCTTTGGGTGAGGAGAATAAGGAAAACGAGTTTTAATTTAATCAAAATGACTAAATAACGTAATTAGATTGTCTCAGCCCCAACACTTTTTAAGGATTATAATTTGAATGAATGAGACTTTAAGTGAACTTGTCTCTATAATAAGTAATAAAGCCGGAACTCTCCATCAGCTTCTGGATCAATGAACCTGATTATTTCTGATTATTTCTGATGATTCATTAGTTCTTCCTGCATCTTTGTGTTCCTCAGGTCATTGATCGGCTCAGAGAGCATCACGGCTAACCCTAACCTGATCAATGATCACTTTGATTATTTTAAATGACTTTAATCATCACTAGTTTCCAGTTTGGAAGCTGAACCCAGTAAACATCTAAATGTTTGGAGGTTAAAGCTAAACTCTGGGTGACTGTTAGCATCCCTAACTGGTGTGGAACTGATCTAGCTGGGGATGCTAACAGATGCTAGTTGGGGATGCTAACAGATGCTAGTTGTGGATGCTAAGTGATACTAGCTGGGGGTGCTAACAGATGCTAGTTGGGGATGCTAACGGATGCTAGTTGTGGATGCTAAGTGATGCTAGCTGGGGGTGCTAACAGATGCTAGTTGGGGATGCTAACGGATGCTAGTTGGAGATGCTAACGGATGCTAGCTGGGGATACTAACGGATGCTAGTTGGGGATGCTAACAGATGCTAGTTGGGGATGCTAACGGATGCTAGTTGTGGATGCTAAGTGATGCTAGCTGGGAATGCTAACAGATGCTGCGTTTCCTCCAGTTTAAGACTCTGCGGGTGGACGAGTACCGGCTGGCGCTCCGAAACCTGGAGCAGCACTACCAGGACTTCCTGCGGGACAGTCCTGACTCGCAGATGTTCGGGGCGGAAGACCGGATGCAGGTGGAGTCCAGCTACAACCGGGCCAGCCAGCACTACCAGACCATGGTCAGCGCCGCAGAGCAAGGTCCGTTCTGTTCCCTACATCATCATCATCATCATCATCATCATTTCTTGTGAACATGTCGGTTTCCTGACAGTGAAATGCTTGTTGGCTTCCTGTTGCAGGCTTCGTCCTGCCCAGAGCAGGTAAGGCAGCGGCAGCTTCTGATTGGCTGAGCAGGAATGAATGCGCTCCGTCGCCTGTTGCGGCATTTCATGCATCGAATCACTGATGTTAATAACCTTTGCTGATTTATTTCATCCTAACATCACTGGTCAGGTTTTCTTGTCTGCATGTTTTACAGCTGCTGATTCTCATCTATAATCAATAACTCTGTAATAACTGGAAGATAAACTTCTGTTAACGCATCACTAACATGAAGGATGAAAAACTTGAAGTGGAAAAACTTACAGAATGTCTTGAAATGACGAAACGGAGAGAGAGGACAGGCTGCAGACCAGGAAAGGGGGCGGGGCCCGTCTGTTGGCGGGGCCCGTCTGTGGGCGGGGCCAGTCTATAGGCGGGGCCAATCTGTGGGCGGGGCCAGTCTATGGGCGGGGCCAGTCTATGGGCGGGGCCAATCTGTGGGCGGGGCCAGTCTGTGGGCGGGGCCAGCTGGTAGACGTCTCGTTGGTTCTCCCAGCAGTCCCAGTTTCTTGTGCTGCAGAGACGGTGCTTAGCCAGACTCCATGTTGGTTCATTTAGGGATTTTCAGCAAATTGTTTGATCAAAAGATGCAAACAAACGCACTCAAAAATCAATAAAAAATAATGCAGCTATTGGAAATATATGAGCAATTATTTTTCTGTACATTAAATAATAACACCAAATGTCTAATTTCCAATTTTACACTAACTTCACTACATCAGTCTTTCTCGAACTGTGGTCCCTGGACCACTGGTGGTCCGCAGACGCCTCCTAGTGGTCCAAAAGGTACTACATGTAATCAATTGTTTATTTGAGATGGGGTGAGCTTACAGTTAGCTTGCCAAAGGATTGTGTTTAAAATCACCAATAGATAAACTGCTGAAGGCTAAAGAGAAAACCCGAAGGGACCAACGGAAGGTTTCTCAGGACGCGGTGCAGACATAGATCTGTAGATATAGATCTGCAAGCATGCAGATCTATGTCTGCACCCCACGCTGACCAACTGCATCTTGGCACCTGAAATAAAATTAATTATGTTGGACTGGCTACTGTCCAAGAAAATGTTTTTGCCAAAGCAACTCAAATCTACGTTGCTTTTATTATGCTTTGAAATTACAAATAAAATGTCATTAATGCACACAACAGTTGCAGTGAAGGACCTTTTTGATGCATTTCCTATAACTACGTTAGAATCCACACTTTCAGAATCTGTAAATAACTCAAATCGTGGTTTTATCGTGGCCAGTCACATTTACCAAACAGCGCCCCCTTCAGATTAGGAGGAACAATGACAGTGAGTTAAGAGACTAATGTTTTCATTTCAGGCTGTAGATGTTAGGAAGTCGTGTTCGGTGGTCCGAGTGTTTAGTGAAGGGGGCTAGCGTCTTCAGCCTGGAAAAGTTTGAGAAACTAAAGGAATGAAAGGAGCAGAGAGAGAACCGGACATTTGGAGCGAAGGAGACGGATCAGGCAGGGTGTGGCTGTGGTCTGCAGCCTGGGGGCCTTGGTAATTGCAGGATATGTGTTGACCTCTCCAGAGCTCTGCTCCCCCCCACCTGCTCAGGTGTTGTCTGTGTCTCGTGCCCCGCCCCCTGCAGGCGATCAGGACGAGTCGCTGTGTCAGACCTTCCTGACCCAGATGAAGGACCTGCGTCTGCGTCTGGAGCGCTGCGAGAACAAAACGCTGACGCGTCTGCGGCAGCCGGCCGACGGCGAGCCGCTGAGGGCCTGCGCTGCCAAGACGGCCGAGCAGATGGTACCAGCTGCTTCTGGCGCGGTCCTGACCCGGTTCTGCCCCGGTTCTGACCAGGTTCTGTGTCTGTGCAGAAGGTCCAGGCCGAGCTGGAGGGCCTGCAGAAGGAGCTCGGCGCCGTCGCTGAGAAGACGGAGGCGGTTCTGGCGGGTCCGCAGCCGGCCGGCGCCGGTCCGATTTTGCGCTCCGAGCTGGACCTGACCCTGAAGAAGATGGAGGCCGTCTACGGCCTGTCCACCGTCTACCTGGACAGGTGAGCACCAGTCAGCTTCACCGTTATCACGTTTCCAGCATTTATCAGTTTTTAAAAACTTGGCAGATTTTCTGTCCAGATATTTTCATTTTGTCACAAATTTGTCAGATGAATTCATATTTTTCATGTAAATGTTGAAGAAATGGGCTCGGCTCTGGTCGGGAACAGTTTTCATCTCTTAAAGTGGCTTTCAGCCAGCTGACCAGCAGCCTGCAGAAACAGGTGTGGGAGGGGCTCCACACAGCTTCCTGTATCTCCTGATCTGTTTCCGGCGTTCCAGGCTGAAGACCATCGACGTTGTGATCAGGAGCGCCAACGATGCCGAAGAGTCGCTGCAGAGCCTGGAGTCGCGCCTGCGGGACGCGGCCAAGGTTCCGGCGTCGGAGCCAGAGGTGGAGGAGCAGCGCGGCCAGCTGAAGGTAGCGACCCGATCCGTCCGGACTCTCGCACGCTCCGGCCTTCCCGGCGCTCCGGCTGACCGCCGCGTCTCTCCGCCCAGGCGCTGCGCGGCGAGGCCGAGGCCGACCGGGCCGTCTTCGACCGGCTGCCGGATGAGCTGCGGCGCGCGGCCGCCGTCGGCGACAGGACGAGCCGGATCCACGGCGAACGCGACGACGAGCTGGAGCGGTACCGGCGGCTGGCGGCCGGCCTGCTGGAGCGCCGGCAGAACCTGCTGGCCCAGACGGAGCTGCGGCTGCGGGAGCTGCAGCAGCTGCAGCGCCGCATGCGCAGCCACAGGGACGGCTGCGACTCGCTGAGCTGCTGGCTGGAAGATGTCCGGCAGAGACACCGGGACGTCCAGGACGTCCCCATCGGAGACGGAGCGGCACTGCGGGACCGGCTGGCCCAGGAGGAGGTGGGGGGGTCAGGGTGTAAAACAATAAATAATCAATATAGCAATAAAAACCTCTGATCCACTGATGTGCATCTAATATACAAACACAGAGACAATAACCACAGAAATGGTTTTATAAATGTTAAATTCATAATATTTTTTAAAACTTTATTTCAGAAACTCCTGGAGGAAATGGAGAAGAACCGAGACGAAGTGGAGAGTTGTTATAAAAACGCTACAGCGTACATCGACTCCATCAAGGTGAGGGTGTCTGAGCAGCTGCTGGCGTCCGGCGGAACGAGAGGTCCGGTCCGGTCGGTTCTGACCCATTTGGACTTTGTGTTCTGAAGGATTACGAGCTGCTGGTGCTGACCTACAGAGCGCTGCAGGATCCCACGGCTTCTCCTCTGAAGAAACCGCGGATGGAGACTTCCTCCGACGGCGTCATTCAGGAGGTCAGGGGGCGTGGCTTAACGGGAGAGGGGAGGGGCTTGAAGGGAGGGGGTGGAGACATGCTGAGCTGTTTGGGACCAGAACCTGATGTGTCTGTGTGTCTGCAGTACGTGTCGCTGCGGAGCCGCTACAGCGAGCTGATGACGCTCGCCGCACAGAGCGTCCGCTTCGTCTCCGACGCGCAGCGCCGCCTGGAGGCCGACCAGGTGAGCGCGGCTCTCGCTGACCGGGCCGTTTGGACCCGCGGGTCCGGCCGACGGAACCGGTTCCCGCCCCGCCGCGGTGAAATCGTCCGTCCTCCGTGTCGACCATGTGACCCGGTCGGCAAACAGGAAGCCGGCGGGTCACATGGCCGGCTGGCTCCGCCCCTTCCTGCCGATTCTCCTTGGTTTCTAACTTTCTCTTCTGTTTGGCTCCTCTGACCTGCTGCATGGTGAATGTTCCCCCCAGCACCCAGGTATTTAACAACGACATCACTTCCTGTCTGTGGGGAAAGTTCAGAAATCTCAGAAATCTTTCAGATCCACTTTCATGTCATTGAAATATTGATTAGTTTTTAAATCTGTAATTTCGGTTTTGATCGTCTTAGTTTACTTAAGTTTTATTTTTTCTGAAATAAAATCTGAGCTTCATTATTTCAGAATTTAATGTTTACAAACCCGAACGAATCCAACAAATCGTCATGTTACCAAGGTCTGGTTCAGAGCTGCTGGTTCCGACCCGGTCCGGCAGTTTCCACCAGAACTCAGGCCGAATGTTTCTGTGAGGAACAAAGAGCCCCAGTGCTGCGTTCTGCAGGGACACTTTAAACCGTGACACCAGAACCAAACAGGAAACTTTATGGTTCCTCCTGAGCTGGACTGGACCAGAACTGGACCAGTGAACTGGATCAGTTCACTGTATCAGTGCACTTGTTCAGAGAACCGGTTCGTGAACTGGTTCAGAGAACTGGTTCGTGAACTGGTTCAGAGAACTGGTTCGTGAACTGGTTCAGAGAACGGGTTCGTGAACTGGTTCAGAGAACGGGTTCGTGAACTGGTTCAGAGAACTGGTTCG